TTATTGTTTCTTTTGAATGGTGTGTGAATGTTGTTTATCTCTATGTGCCTATTGATGGCTACCTTGCCTGAATATCAAGCTTCCAGGGATTCCCTTGCTAAATTCCCCTGGATTTAGCTTGGTCTAAGATGCTGACAGTTTCCAAGTTGAAACTGTGGTTAAGTCTGTCCATATGTTGTGAGATTAAGGAGTTTTCATCATGTTTTCTGACAGCTGGCTGGTGTTCATGGATGAGCTCTGCTAGTCTTCTGCCTGTTTGTCCTACATAGTGACTGTTACAGTCCTTACACTGAATGTTGTAGATGACTCCTGCTTTTTCTTCTTGGGCTACTAGGTCTTTTGGCTTACTTAAAATGTTTTGGAGGGTTTTAGTTGGTTTGTGTGCTATGGTGATGCTATGTGGTTGTAATAGTCTGTTGGTTGTTTCTGAGACATTTCTAGGGTTTTAGTTGGTTTGTGTGCTATGGTGATGCTATGTGGTTGTAATAGTCTGTTGGTTGTTTCTGAGACATTTCTAGGGTTTTAGTTGGTTTGTGTGCTATGGTGATGCTATGTGGTTGTAATAGTCTGTTGGTTGTTTCTGAGACATTTCTAATGTATGGCAGTGTTGGTTGTCCTGTAGTGGGTTGCGTGGTCAGGCACTTTTTGATAAAGTTGTGTGGGTATCCATTTTGTTGGAATATGTTGTATAGTGGGTCTATTTCCTTTTTTTGCTGTTCTGGGTTGCTGCAGTGCAATTGTGCTCATTTGAATAATGTTCTTACACAGCTCCTTTTGTGGGAGGTTGGGTTGTTACTTTGGTGATGGAGTACTTGGTTAATGTGGGTTGTTTTCAATAGACCTGTGTTTCCAATTTGCCATCATTTCCCCTGCTGATGTGGATATCCAGGAACGGTAGTATGTTGTCTTCTTCTTTCCTTGTGAATTTTATTCCTTTGAAGATCTTGTTGATTGTTTCAACATACCCCAAGATATAACATAGTGAAAGAACTTACAAAAAAGCTTGGAAACAAGAAGATATTTCTATCTTGCACCAAGCGAGTTAAAAAAATTATAAACTGTATCTCTAAATTGTAACTTTGAGCTTTATGGATTATATCAACTTGGAATAGACCCCTATTTTCTAATCTTTCTTCCATGAATTCACTCATAAGTTTGTTCTGCCCCTTTTCTACATTGGGAAGCAAATAAAAATAAAATACTGCACAGCATTTTGCATTTCAATATTACTTTATGTGGATTTTCAAAATACAGATTTCTATGGATTTCTAGGAATAGAGTAGCCCAAGTTTGCTATGCATCCTTAATAGCCGGGTTTTCCAGCCTTTGGGAGATCAGCACTGAGGTCTTGATCAGTTTATTCTGCAGATTTTCACCCATGTGTCAGTGAGGCTTCTTCAGGGCAATGGTTCAGAAGTGAGGGTTGCCTTGCAGTATTTCCAATCTGTGTAATATTTCAATCACAGCTGATGGTAGTGGTGGTGGTTGGTAACTGGAGGCTTCCTGGGTGGTGTTGATTAATTGGTTTCTGGGAATGGTGTTGTCTCCATTTTGACTGGTCTACCTTGTCTGTTTGTTGTGTGTGGTTTGGCTCAGGCCCCTCAGTGGGTGGTAGATCTTATCCAAGTCCACTTATCTGCGGATGGCCCATTTATTGGAATACCATGCTTCTAGGAATTCTCTGGCTGTCCTTCTGTCAGTTCCGCTGTGGTCTTTAAGTGAATCACCCACAGTTGTTAAGTGGAACTTACTGCCAGTTTCTCCATTGACTTTGCTTGTCAGAAGCTGGCTGTGAAGCTTGCAAAGAGAGTTGCAAATGGTGATCATGTGACTGCAGGACACTGCAGTGGTCAGTTTGAGGACTGGTTGCGAAGCTACTTTTTCAGTGCTGTTGTAACTTCAAATGGTCGCTAAACAAGGCAATCATTAACTGAGGACTACATGTAGGTGGTGAGGCTTAGAATTAGTAATTACATGAGTGTAATGATTCCATGAGGCTGGAAAAGTTTACATATTTATTTAGAATACATTTTTACATAGTTTTGGAGTTGAAATCTGTCCCAACATTTGTGGAACTGTGAAATCCAATAGATAGCTTGTGCATGGACAGTACAGAAGATGGTCTTCACAGAGAGAGGAAAGATCTGTTACCAAGACAACGAAGAGATAAACATGGCACACAAAGTAGGAATGTATGTAAATGCCTAAGGCTGGTACTCCCCAAGTTCATATGAAGATACAAGTGGAAGGAGGGGGAACACATTCAGACTGGCAAGATTCTGTCACTATAGCCATTCTAATAAAAGTAGTTTTAGACCTATCTAGCATCTACTTCTTAATTTGCTCTACCTTGTAGGGCTGACATTAGTATATCAGTACATAGGTTTAGCAGGAGTAGCTCATATTAGTTATATAAGAGTTCTCAGAGATTCAGTGTATCTTCAGAAAGAGATCTAGATTTTTCCAAGTTAATAGTTACACAGATATAATTTTCTGAGCTGCTGGAAATTATCCAACATGCTCAGGTCCAATGATGACTTCCTGAGGAGGGTATGGACCACTGTCTCTCTAAGTGCAGGTGAGACCAATCCCTCTCTCAAGGAAGAATTCGCCACTGCTTGGACTCAGCCACATGGCACCACCTGGGAGGCCTTTACCAACCAGGAGGGCATGGATCTAAAATACAAGTGGACACACACACACCTCCAAGGGTCCTAGTCACTTCCTCAGGGCCAAAGGGATCAAACTCTTTCCAGATAATCACACAAGGCTGTGCCTCAGCCAACTCCACAGGACCTGCACAAGCGGAGTTCAGCTCTGACTGAAATCATGCCAACAAGATCATACTGTCTTTTAATAGCCTTTAAAACCGCTGCTTCACAACTTTGTATAGGTTCTTTATATTTTCTCTGAAAGATTCTATTGCTATTTTGAACACTGTTTCGTTAATATATATATTTTTTCTATTTAAATAATAATAATTAACACATTTTTGAAAGGCACTCTGTATCCACATGAACAACTTTATTGTGTGGAAAAAGAATATGATAATATATTATTAATAAATAAAGAAGGGGACAGAATGTGATTTCTACTGAATACTGAATACTTCATTTTCCACTGGTGAATATTT